ATTACATATTCATGTGCAGACAGCCACAAATTGAAAAAAGTCGATAAGTTGGTTTGGTATAATGTTTTACAAACTAACAGTACATTAACTCTCACCATCTAAACATTAACTTAACATTGTGCCATTAATGCAATTTAATGTCCCTGCACACATCCTGTTTTACCTGACTTCTCAAACATTACATAGAATTTACTACATCAAGCAGAAACATTCTACTCCCAGACAGCTTCTCTTCCTATCTGAAACATCATTCCTCATTCCAGCCTCTGCGTAGAGGTCAGGTTTGCTGTCCCAGTCAATCCTCGCTCGGTCATCTGTTTAGCTTTTTAGCGACTGCCCCTGGATTACTCAGTCAATCTCTTTGCTAAAACCTTTTCCTACCAACATAATTAGTTTGTCCCCTGAATAAAACACTCTGTCCCATATTGTACCATAGTCCAGTTTCTCTTCCCGTGCCCAAGCAGAATTTTGCAAGATGATGACTTTTTCACTGCCCCCCACTTCCAGCTCTGCTGCGATTTAGTGTTAATTATTTTTAGTTATTTTACGTGACCTTTGTAACTTATCAGAATGGTTCCAGGGATGAAGGTAACAATTACGTGTAGAGGAAGAAGAAGCTGGGGTTGTTCTCCTTAGAGCAGTGTAAGCAAAGGGGAGACTTGATATATGGAGGGAAGACAAGTGGTAGGGAAAAAGCAATGAGTTAGCAGAATCATAGGATAACACAGCAATTGGCTCTCTGGATTGAGGTCAGCCATGATCTCATTGAATGGTAGAGCATACTCAATGGGCTGAAAGGCCTACTTATTGTATCATGGTCTTAACCATTGAGGTTAAATTCTGACTGTGCACGGTCACATTTGATTAAAGCCAATTTTTGTAATTTTTAAAAAATATTCTAACTGTTTTCTTCATTTTAATCACTGTTTTAGTTTATTTCAGAAATTTTGCTGCCACTACACGTGCTTTATGGGTTTCAGCAAATGTAGCTGGTGAGATATCGGGACCTGAGAACTCACTGATGCCGACCAGGGCTAGCTTTTATGTTCATGGCACTCAGGGATGACCATAGCTGGGGTATCACCAGCGCTGCAGATGATAAATGGGACCAGCTATGTAACCAATAAATCCAGCTCAATACAGACAGCCAAGTGCTGTGTTATCCTATGATTCCATTAACTCATTACTTTTTCTCTGCCACTTGCTCCTCCCTCCCTTTCAGCTTTTTCTTACTCTCCATGTCTTCTGCAGATTGAAAATGATTATGAGGCAGCTGATATCAGAACACACTCTGAACAGTCCAAATAAACAAACCCCAACTGCCATTTCAGTATAATCTATGAAAGCAATTGCTTTAACTGGCTTATTCATTAGCAAAGTGTTGGCTGAGGATCACTGAGCCTAATTTAATACAATCATATGCTATTTAATTACACAATTGTCAACAGTAGGCCTTTTACATAAAGCTAGCACACATTAATAAGTTAAATAATGGCATGAAGAAACAATGCTGGCTTTCTAATTAACCATAGTTGAAGCTCACATAAGATTTTAACAGTTTTGAGTTAGGCTTACACCAGTTACTCCTGACCCACATTCAAACATACAGAAATTTAATTAAGTGGTGTGAGGCATTTGAACCAAAACTGGATTAATGAGAACAGACCGTCCCACTATCACCAGTCCCTCACAATTGCAGTGGATACGGCAACATTTCAATTATTTAAATTCAAAGCAGCAGAAAATGGGGAAAAATTACAAAAAAAAATTTAGCTTTGTACAAGCTATGTACTTGCTATGAACATCAACACTTTTTACCATCTCAAAATTAAATCTGACCTCTATGGTTTGTTTTCAAATCCATAAGCTACACTGCATTGTTAGGAATCCACTCTGATGGGATTCTGTCTTCCCCAGGGCTGAATGCAGGGCCTCTGGCTGCAGCCTCAAGCCTTGTTCTCACTTTCCACCCAACTATTCACTGCATTCATTTCCACCACCTCCAGCAGGATGCCATCCCCAAACACATTTTATTTCCTCCATGACAGCCTGGTCCATTCCTGCATCACTCCTAAGACTTCGTCACCTTCACAGCAGTTTCCCGTGCAATCACAGAAGGTCTGAAGTCACAAGACACCAGGTTATAGTCCAACACGTTTATTAGAAATCACATGCTTTTACAGTGCTGCTCCTTTGTCAGGTGAAGTGGAAGGAAGTGCACAGGAATAGAATATATAGATGGAGCGATAACAGCAAGATAATTCCAGGTAATTAAGAGTCAACAGATAAGTCCAAACAGTGTAAAGTGAAGTGTCAACAGGCCGAGCAACAAGTCTTTGCAAATGATGGGGAGGCGAGGGCCTAGTGGTATTATCGCTGGAGTATTAATCCAGTAGACCCAGATTCTGTTCTGGGGACTGGGTTCGAATCCTGCCATAGCAGATGATGGAATTTGAATTCAATAAAACATCTGGAATTAAGAATCTAATGATGACCATGAATTCATTGTCGATTGTTGGGGAAAAAACCCATCTGGTTCACTAATGTCCTTTAAGGAAGGAAACTGCCATCCTTACCTGGTCTGGTCTACACGTGACTCCAGACCCACAGTAATGTGGTTGACTCTTACGTGCCCTCTTAGCAATTAGGGATGGGCAATAAATGCTGCCTGGTCAATGACGCCCTCATCCCGTGAATGAATAAAGAAAAAAAAGATCAAAAGTGTTAGATGATGTGAGTAAAGTGTCAACAGCTGAATAGCAATTAAAGGGATGACCTATGGTGCGATTAATTACGGCAGGGAGATAATTACAAAAGAAATCAAAAATAAGATGGTGCTAGAGACAAACCAAATGGCTGGAATAACATGATTGGTATCAGAGTCGCATGACGAGGGTCTAGCCAAAGTAACAAGTAATCCAAAACTAATTAAGAGACATCATAACAAGTTATCAAGGTGATGGAGTCAAAACAAGAAAGTAAGGAAGATTTTACAAACTCAGAACAGAATGGTGGGGTAACATGTGGCACGACATGAACCCAAGATCATGATTGAGGCCATCTTCATGGGTACAGGACTTGGCTATTAGTTTCTGCTCGGTGATTCTGCGTTGTTGTGTATCTCGAAGATCGCCTTGGAGGACGCTTACCCGAAGGTTGGAGGCTGAACGTCCTTGACCTCCGAGTGTTCCTCAACTCGGAGGGAACACTCTTGTCTGGCGATTGTTGTGTGGTGTCCATTCATCTGTTGTTTGACACTTTTGATCTGCTGCAAAAACTTACCATTCAGCCTGTCAACACTCCAATCACACTATTTGTACTTACTGGTTGACACTGTTAATTACCTGGAATTATCTCGCCATTACATTCCGTGCCTGTGCACTTCCCACGACTTCACCTGATGAAGGAGGAGCGCTACGAAAGCTTGTGATTTCAAATAAACCTGTTGGGCTATAACCTGGTGTCATGCAACTTCTGAATTTGTCCAACCCAGTCCAACACCGACACCTCCGCACCCTCACAAAAAGTGACACACACATCCTTTCTTCTCCTCCCTCCTCACTGTCCAAAACTCCAAACACACCTTCCATGAGAAGCAGTGGTTTACTTGCACTTCTTTCAATCTTATCTACTGCATTCACTGCTCACAGTGCAGTCTCCTTTACATTAGAGACCCCTATTGCCAAATGGGTGACCACTTTATGGAACACCTCTCCTCTGTCCATAAGAATGACCCTAACTTCCCAGTCACTTGCCATTTCAATAAACCACTTTAACACCGAGGCTATCCTTTTAGTCTTGGACCTGCTGCAGTATTCCATTAAGGCTCAATGCATGCAATAGCACCTTATTTTTTTGCTGAGGTACTTTACAGTCTTCGGGATTCAATATAGAGTTTCCAACTTCAAAGCATGACCGCTGTCTACTTTGATTCCAACAACCTTTTGCCCTCCACCATGTCTTGTGGCTTTGCTTTCAGCACAGTATACCCATTTTCTTCTTTGCACACTGATCCTTCATAGCAATTTTACATCTTTTTCTCTCCTGTACCACCATTAGCATTGCCCTTGTCCTTTTCTCTGGTTACCCACACCATTTGTTCCATGCGGGCCTCCTCCTCCCTCTCTGCCAACAACATGAAAACATTACTCTCCAGGCCGTTTTAATTCTGAAGAATTCATAATGGACTTGAGGCATTAACTCTGTTTCTCTCCCCACTGATGCTGCCAGACACGCCTAGTTTCTCCAACCAGTTCTGTTTTTATTTCAAATTTCCAGTATCCGAGGTATTTTGCTTTGACTTGGATATATTTGGTTTTGCTGCAACAAAACTGCTGCGCCTTCATTGGTCACCAATGATGATGTGATGTTTCTCTTCTGAAGGAATGAGTAGGAAGCTGTATAAAATAAAACAAAGTCCAGTAGCAAATGTTCCGAGTTAATTTGGAAACAATGCGCTCTGTTTCTCACTGCCTCAGTAAGCAGCATAATCATAACAGGAATGTAATGGATAAGAAAATTCACCAGCAAGTGCATACATTAAAATATGATTTTATTCTTGCAATTCTTTTCTATACACTCATGTGACAGCTCCAGAGGCTGTGGCAAAATGTTTTGTCCTTGTGAATGGTCGATCGCACCTTGCGGTCTTTTTTACATCTAGTATCAGCCTTTTGTGTGCAAAGGATCAGGTTTGCGTCATTCTCTGCGCAAAAGACTAAGTGCAATAAAACTAATTCTGTATGACAACCATGGCGTCCTTCTGGGCTGCAAAACTCACTGATAAACATCAGTATTCATAAGTGTTTGAAAGCATTGCAAGTGCTTATCGACCACTTGTTAAAGAATGATTAAAAAAAGCATATTGTATTCCATTGCTGTGTTTATTTTAACCATTTATTATAAACATAGTTTAATCACTTTCTTCATGTACAATTACCTGTTTGTGGGGAGAAAGAAGTCTTGATAGACATGGCAAATGAAATAGCAAAATCACAGACTGTATTGCAAACAGGATGAAACGGTCATTTTTATTCTAAAGTGATATGTACAAGAAGGTTGTTTTATACACGGTGTAAAAGAGCTGTTAAAAACTGATTGCACTGTGCTTACATTTTGTTTGAAACATTACAGTAAAATTGGAATAAAGGCAACAACAAACAGGCAAACAAGACATCAATAGTTGTGCAGAGGTTTCACTTACACCAAAAAAAACAGCTTGACAACAAAAAGAAAGTGCCAAACAGAAAGAGGCATAGTCTTCCAGATTCACACACTGCGCACTACGATTAGTGTGTGTGAGAAATGATCAAAATTCATTCTCTCTCATATCTGGAACTGTAGGCACTTAATTGTTCCAACCTCTGTATTCCACACAATTCATGGAACATCAAGTTTTTAAAACAATTATGTAAAGGAAAGGTTTCCAAATTCCCAAATGTACACTAGGGTCTCACTGTAAAAGCAATAATAAAATGTAAGTCACTTATTTGTATGTCTTTTTATATATTTATATATAAAAAAAAGTCTTTTCTTCCTTTCCTTTCTTGAACTTGCAAAGACGTAATTGTATACTATATAATCACCGCACATCAGGTACAATACAAAGATATAATGGGCACTGGAAGCATTTAAACATGGTCTCCTGCTTGACTTAACGTTCGTAATGTTACAGACTTGTCCGCAAACCCATTGCGTTTCCCTTCCTTATATTACCCATATTTTTCAATAGCCTGATGCGAGAAGAATTTTTCTGCTTGTTACCATGAGAGCTTGTAGTAGCCAGGACATCTTGGCTAACACTTCCTTTCTTCAGGTTATTGGCTGTAAACAGAACTGAAATATGGAAGATTTAGCATTAAAAAATGGTAAGTAATGGTGAATCCACTCTCTCTTCCCTGAAATCATAATATTGGCAGTTACTCCTCTTCTCAATCAATGAACTAAAGGATTAGTGTACAGTGGTATGGTATGCTGCACATTTTATCATGTTCCACAGTTTTCAGAGGCCTTCTCAATCAGATTTAAAACATTATATGGTCTAAAAGTACACTGAGATTAATTCTTTTTTTGAAGTGTGACCTATTCCATTCAAAGACAGACAACATTTCTCCAAGAAAAGAATATTAAAGTCGAAGATAATGAACCACAGAACATTTTCTAGTCAATATTGAAGTGAATTTTGCATGTGAAATTGCCCCCTTGGGACTAATGTGGCAGAATTCCAGTATGAATCATTTTATGCCAAGCTTAGCATCTGTATCTATATGGGGGGAAATGGGGGCCATGTATCTCACAATACAGTAACAGAAGAGCATTGTGAAGGTGGTAAAATGAATCCAGCTACAAATTGCTAAAAATCAGTCACACTGTCTGGAGAAGAATCACAAGATTAGATCCTCATGACAGCATACTTGTTCTTCTGCTTCCACCTGATTGTCAAACTGTGAGAAAGTCTTTCTGTTATCGACTGATGAATGTGACAGACAGAAGGAGGCAGATTAAGGCCAGTGAGTCTTTTCTCAAATTACTAAAGGCACTGGAATAAACATCATCACAAAAAACCTGCTACACATTTGAAGGCCTTCTCCTTTGATACTCAGAGGAACATACGCTAACTTTTTTTTCAAAAAAAGTGACTTATTGCCTTGTAGGTTTAAGTTCTAACTGCTTGTCAGGGATAGAATGGTCGTGCTTTGTCCTGCATTTGTAATCTGGCAAGCCTGGCAACCTGAGAAGGGGACGGAGGGACATCTTGCCTGTAAGGACCTTTCGGAAGGCTGTAGCTGGGATCAGCTTTGTAAGAGTCATAGTTGTTACGCCCTTCTGCAGGCTGATGGTCTTTCTGTCGTTGTTCCTCTTGGCGAAGCAGTTCTTGTGTTTCCATTAAAACCCGTGCATTGACGCCATGCCCTAAGTAGCCATTTCGAGAGCCCTGATAGCTAGAGTATCTGGGATTGTCCTTTGCACTCTGGAAACCGTCACCGGGGACACAGCCTTTATCCCATGCTTCCTGAGTCATGGAACTGGAATTCTTCTTGCTTTGCCTGCAGGGAGCAAAAATGAGAAAAAAATGCAGACAGAAATTTGGCTTTTACTTTGCCACTTAATGGAAGCACACAAGACATTAAATGCTAAATGGGAACATACTAAATAACAACCAAGACAATATTAATTATTTATAATTATCTTGTTCATAAATCATGCATACACTATTGATAAATGCAATTATAGTGTATCTGCATGATATCACCTAATAAATCACAATCTTAGCCTAGTGGTTATAATTAAGTGCTTTACAGTCTCTTTTCCTGCAGTATAGAACATTATTTCTATCAAAAAGTCTGCGATACTCATACCGTAGATAGACTGTGTTATCTACCTTGTTTAAATAAAAAGATGCAACTATAGTGCCTTGCCATACTATCAGTCCCACTGTTGATGGTATTAAGGTGTAGAGAAGTACACAGTTTTAGAAGTGGACTGCAATTGCAGAATACAATATCAAAGAACATTGGGGGATATATAATTTCATTCCTAATTCTCTGTAATACCAAAGTTTTGATCTTAATCACAGAGGAGAAGTTTTTTTAGTAAAATTCTTTATGCGACAACCTTACTGACACCCCATTCCATCAGGAATAAGAAACAGCATGAGTGAAAACATGCATCAAGATGTTTGAGAGAAATGAATTTCAAACACAAGTTAAAATGGCACTGAATTAATGTAGTTTTGTTTCTTGGCTGTATATCAAAACTATAAAATGGGTACACAAAATGCAGGACAGATCCAATTTGGCTGAACAGCACCATATCAGTTTTCTCTTACTCATTGGTCAAGTAATAGAAGTTACTATGAAACAGCTTCCTCACCCATTGGTGAGGAACATTGATCCAAATTTGGACTAGAGAGTTGAATTCCAGAGATGAGGTGAGACTGACTGCCCTTGATAGCACGGCAGCATTTGACCAAATGTGTAATTCGTAGACCATGACAAGTGAAATGAGTTCAGTTCCATTTGTAGCTCCTCACATAATGAAACGGTGTGCGCAGTTAAGTGCCAGAAAACATTCATACTGCTAAGTAAAATTCATGCCACACAAGGGGGAAATGAACATCTCCAACAAAGGAGAATCTCACCATCTCCCTTTGACATTCAAAAGCATGATAATTCTCAAATTCCCCACCATCCTGTCCTAAGGGCATCACCATTGACTAGCACCTCAACTGGAGCTGCCACATAAATATGGAGACCATAAGGAAAGGTCAGAAGCTTTCCACCTACTAGGCATAATGGGCAGCTCCAAAATACTCAGGATAAGCTTAACATCATTGAGGTCAAAACAGCCCATTTTGGTTTTTGATTCACTTGTGGGACATGGTTGTCGCTGGCTGGGCCAGCATTTATCACACAACCCTAGTTACGCTTGAGAAGGTGGTGGTGAGCTGCCTTTTTAAACCGCTGCAGTCCATGTGCTAAAGGTAGATACACAATACTGATAGGGAGAGAATTCCAAGATTTAGATCCAGCGATAGTGAAGGAAAGGTGTTATATTTCCAAATGAGAATAATGAGTGGCTTGGAGGGGAATCATAGCATTCCTACGGGGCATATACAGGCCATTTGGCCCATCTAGTTAGCACTGACCCACTGTAAGGCACCCATCCAGACTCATTCCTATTCCCCGCAAGCCTGCACATCCCTGGACACTACGGGGCAATTTAGCAAATCCATCCACCGAACCCACATGTCTGTGGGAGGAAACGTGAGCACCTGGAGCAAACCCACGCAGACACAGGGAGAATGTGCAAACTCCAGACATTCGCCTGAGGGTCGAATCGAACCCAGGTCCGTGGTGCTGTGAGGCAACAGTGTTAACCACTGAGCCATTGGGCCGTCTGTCAGGAAACCCATTGTCAGCTATTGATGGTCCCCATTAGCAGCTATTGGTTCCCCAGGCTGGCCTTTACCCATTCCTTTGTCTGCCCAATTATTTTTCTCTCTCTGGTCTCCTCTTCCCCTACTCCATCTTCAGCATATATATTAACCATTTCCTAGCTACTACTAGTTCTGAAGAAGCGTCACTGGACCTGAAATGTTAATTTTTTTTTGTTTGTGGCAGCAGCCCATGTGATGACAAGGCCTAGTGTGTAGACCTTGGGGTAAGGACACGGAAGAAGGTGCTCCAGCCCTAAAATTATTGAACTCGATATTGAGTCCCAAAAGCTGCAAATGAGATGTTGTTCTACTAGCCTGTGCTGAGCTTCGCTGGAGCACTGCAGCAAGCCTGAGACAGGTATGTTGGCCAGGGAACAGGGTGGTGTGTTGAAGTGGCAGGTAACAGGAAGGTCAGGGTCTTTGTTCCAGACAGAATGTGGGTATTCTGCAACGCAGTCACTCAGTCTCTGTTTCATCTCCCCCAATATCAAGCAGACCACATTGTGAGCAGTGAACACAGTAGACCAGATTGAGTGAAGTGCAGGGAAATCACTGCTTCACCTGGAAGGTGGGTCTCGGACCTTGGATAATGAGGAAGGAGGATGCAAATGGGCAGGTGTTACGCCTTCTGCAATTGCGTGGGAAGGTGCCGTGGGGCTGTGTTGGGAATGAAGGAGGATTGGAGCAGAGTGTCCCCAGGGGAGCAGTCCCTGTGGAAGGCTGACGTTTCTTGTTCGTGATCATTACTTTCATTGTTGTTACTGGCGTTTGACAACGTATTTGCAAAAAATCCGCTTCCACAGCCACATCTCATTCCTCAGTGACTGCTTCCGGCTCTTTCACACCCCACGAGGATTCCAACTCAAATTCACCCTTCATGTTTTGAATCTACCCAAGATCACTGGTATCTCTGTGATGTTCAACGCTCCCCAGACAGCTATTCTCACTACGACTCTCACTGGCTCAGATATTCCCTGTCCCCAAATTCCACTTCATCCTCTGGCTCATTTGGCATGCCAACAGGAATACTTTTCTTTTGGAAATTTCCAACCCTTTCCTTCCTTCTGACTCCACCCCTTCCCCCAACCCCACCTCCCACCATGTATTTACTCTCCCTTCTGACCATCTGCTCTCTGATGCTGAATGTTCTATACTCACCAAAGGTCATCATTTCAACTCCCTTTACCCCCACCTTAATGAATTTTGGGCATGACATGACACTGGCACTTTCGCCTCCATGCCCACTTCTTTGGACAAGAGTCCACTCTCCGTCCCACAGACACCTTCGTCCACCTCCAACACTCTCCCTCCAACTGGACCCCTTTATCTTGGCCTTTTATCTGCATTCGCCCTGTTCATTGAGAACTGGCGACGTGACATCGGTCACCTTAATTTCTCCGACCCTCTTACCCATTCAAACCTATCTCCCTTTGAACTGACTGCATTCCGTGCTCTCGGATCCAACCCTGAGTTTTAATTAAACCTGCCAGCAAGGGTGGTACTGTTGTTTGGCTGACTGACCTCTACAGTGCAGAAGCTCTCGCAAACCATCCTCCATCTCCCACTGGATCAGGACCCACCAGCAAACATCAAGTTATTGCCTCAACCACAGTCACTAATCTCATTTCATCTGGTGACCTTCTCCCCACTGCCACCAATCTCATAGGTCCCCACCCCAGTCCAGCCCTCATCTACTTCCTACCTAAAATCCATATCAATGACATCACCGGCGCTGCTTCGCGCTCTCATTCGGAATTAGAAAAGTTTATCAATTTTAATTCCAATTTCCACCCTGCTCTCACATTCAATTGGTCCATTGACTCCTCTCTTCCCTTCCTCAACATCTTTGTTTCCATTTCTGGGGATAGACTATCCACTACAAACTCACCGACTTCCACAGTTACCTTGACTGTGCATCTTCACACCTTGCTTCCTGTAAAGTCTTTATCCCATTATCCCAGTTTCTCCGTCTCTGTCACATCTGTTCTGATGATGCCAGCTTCTACAGGGGGCCTTAAAAGTTCATCTTTTTCCTCAACCGAGGACTGCCCATCATGGTCGACAGGGCTTTTAGCCGTGTCTGACCCATCTCCCACACTTCCGCCCTCACCCTCTCTTCCCTCCCGCAACAGTGATAGGGTCCCCCTCACCCTCACTGACTATCCCACCAGCATTCACATCCAAAGGATCATTAGATGCTATTTCTGCCATCTCTGGACACATATTCCACTCCCTGCCCTTGTCAGCCTTCTGCAGGGACTGTTCCCTCCGGGACACCCTGGTCCACTGCTTCTCCTTCACTCTCAACACTTCCCACGCAATTGCAGGTGTAACACCTGCCCATTTACTTCCTCCCTCCTCACCATCCAAGGCCTGAGACACACCTTCCAGATGAAGCAGTGATTTACCTGCACTTCACTCAACGTATTCTACTGCATTTGCTGCTCACAATGTGCTCACAAGATGAAACGCAGACTGGGCAACCGTTTTGCACAACACCTACATTCTGTCCGCAAAAAATGACTGAGCTTCCTGTTGCCTGCCTCTTCAACTCACCATATTGTTCCCTGGGCAACATCTCTGTCTCGGGCAATTAGAATTATACAGCAAGGAAACAAACCCTTCGGTCCAACTCATCCATGCCGACCAGATATCCTAAATTAATCCAGTACCATTTGCCAGCATTTGGCTGATATCCCTCTAAACCCTTCCTATTCATGTACCTTTCTAGATGCCTTTTAAATGTTATAATTGTACCAGCCTCCATCATATCCTCTGGCAACTCATTCCATACACACACCACCCTCTGCATGAAAATGTTGCCCCTGAGGTCCATTTTAAATCTTTCCCTCCCACATTAACTTATCCCCTCTCGTTTTGTACTCCTCTACCCTGGAGAAAAGAGCTTTGCTATTTACCCGTTCCGTGACCCTCATGATTATACAAACTTCTATAAGGTCACCCCTCAGCCTCCGACGCTCCAGGGAAAACAGCCCTAGCCTATTCAGCTTCTCCCAGGGTTGAAACCCTCTAACCCTGGCAACATCCTTCCAAATCTTTTATGAACCCTTTCAAGTTTCACAGCATCCTTCCTGTAGCAGGGAGAACAGAACTGAACGCAGTGTACCAAAAGTGGCCTGACCAATATTCTGTACAGCTGCAACATGACCTCCCAACTCAAATACTCAATGCACTGACCTATAAAGGCAAGCGTACCAAATGCCTTTTTCACCTATCTACCTGCAACTCCACTTTCATGGAACAATGAACCTGCACCCCAGCAATTTCTGTTGTTGTTAAACAGCTTCTCATTTTTTTGCTTGGGAACTGTGTAGCCTCCGGGACTCAATATCGAGTTCAATAATTTTAGGCTTGAGCACCTTCTCCCATGCCCTTACCCCAAACCCCACACACCAGGCCTTGTCATCACATGGGCTGCTTCCACAAACAACCCACTGTCAGCTACAAATGGTCCCAATTAGCAGCTATTCATATTCCGAGGCTGACCTTTACCCATATTTTGTCTGTCCAACTGTTGTTCTCTCTTTCTAGGCTCCATCTCCACCTACCGTTGACTCCTCCCTCTTCCCTCACCCCATCTTCAGCATATATACCAACCTTTTCCTAGCTACAACCAGTTCTGAAGAAAGGTGACTGGACCCAAAACATTAACTCTGCTTTCTCTCCACAGATACTACCAAACCTGCTGAATTGTCCCAGGACTTTTTTGTTGCAGACAGTGGTGTTCCCAAGTATCTGCTACCCTTGTCCTGCTAGGTGGTAGCACTTATGAGTTTGGAAGGTGCTGTCTCAGGGTCTTTTGTGACTTTGGAAATATCCTTTTTCTTCATCACCAGTGGGTCAAAAACCTGAAACTCCTGACATGATGATATGTGTATTTTCCTGGTGTGACACTGCATCTGTACTTAATCACACGGACTGCAGTACATCAAGAAATTGACTCACCGAAACCTTCTCAAGGGCCTTTGGGAAAGAGCAACACGTGCTAGCCCTTGTCAACCATGTCCACATTCCCAAATAAGGAAGTAAACCTTCTAATTGGGTCACTTAAAGATACCAATTTTTGATCGCAGCAGCCCAGTTTTTAAAGATGCAGATTGCATGGGGGCAAATTCAATGCAGCTTGTGGCACATGTCCACCAATTTGGGTAAGTGAGATGTAGCCAATGCAAACTTATCTGAGTGATAAACATTTGTACGAAACAACTTGGTGAAAAGTCACAATATTTCAGTCCTCAAATAAACAGTCTACTGAATTACTTAATACATTTTTATGCATCTGCGCTTTTGTTTAATTTATTTTTGTGCAAAAAGACTTTTATATAGAATGTCCCAAATAGCATACCAATAACCTGTCTGACCCATCAGAACAACTAGAAGTTGTTTAAACTGAAATAGACGAATTATCAACATGATATAGACTACTGCCAACAAACGAGCCTGAAGACAGACATATGGCAGAAAGCCCCTGAAAAGCTGTCTTTTTTCAACACTTTCTAATCCTTGTGTGTATTGTTGGGTTAATTTAGACATACTAGGAAACAGCTGTCGCCAAATTCACTTGCAATATACTGTCCAGCTAAGGTTTTTTTTGTTGACTTTGCCATTCAAAGAATTGCAGTAGTGTAAGTGCACCATTTCGTTTTTAAAAAATAACAATTTATTCAAACTGATTTGCAATTCTGGCAAAACTGTACTGTAAAGAAGTGACCTTTAACTACTTCACTCTTATTTCCTCTTCATGACATCCAGAATTTTAATTTTCCCAACCAGATTTGCAGAGCATGTGGGGCAATGAGAAAACATGCTTTTGTACCGCAAGCTGTATTCATTATTCAAAAATGTTTAATATGTAAACCTTGTATGTAGATTTGTATGTCAATTACTTTTATGGCTTCGGGTGTAAAACAAAATGAACCATCCCTAGCTTAATAAAGTCATGTGACCTTGGTGCTCTTACCGTGGCAAGGAGCTGTACTGTCGCTGTGCCTGCTGGAAACTCTCCCTTTCTTCCTGTCTCTGTCGTTGGAGTTGAACCTCTACAGACACAGAATGCCGACCGCTTTGAGCATAGGGACCAGAGCTGGGCTACAGAGGAATTACAAAGCAAGTCAATTAAAAGATTTTGGAGTGGCCTTTTGCAATAGCAGATCAATTAGGTCAACTGAAGTTATAGATAGGCAGCACTCCAGTCCAGAACTGATAGTATAAAAATCAGCAGCTTGTCTAGTCAATAGGTTGTATGAGTGCCCCAGGATTTCAGGCCCTTAATCGTGCTGGAATAGAAGTGGAGGTGATGGTGGGTGTAGCAGGGGAGAGAAGAGGATTTAAAAATGACAATTGGTTTTAATTCTGGGACTTCTGTTCCCATTTTTGGCACCAATTTTCACCAGCGTAAGATAAAGGTGAGGGTCACTAGCACTTTCTACCTGCTCGGTCAGTTGGGGGCCAGTTAGGTTCCTCCTCATCCGCTGAAATGTTTATGGAGTCTAGCCGGCTCCTCCACCCTCGTGCTTCACGGCCCCTCAGAGGAGTTCTGAATCACAATCTGGATGCGGGAATCTTTCAAAACCTAAATTCCCTGACCCATTTCATGCTCCCATGGGCTCTCTCTGCCCACAATTCCATGTCCTCTCTGCTGCCTATGCCCTTACCATTCAATTCAGGATACACTACATATAAAACCAATGAGCCATATAATAATAATGGCATGTGTAGAAATGCTGGGGGGAAAAAAAGAGGCATTTGTCTTTGGAAAAGACAACTGTTGCTGCTACATATATCCATGGAAGTCTCGATCAGACAATCAATTCGGATTTAAGCATGTGAGGCTTTACCCTCTTCATGCTTTGCTTCCTTTTTCAAATAAACTGACGTTTGGCCATCTGATTCTATTGAAACAGTTCTCTCCCACTGCTCATTACAAATGGTTGGCTATGAACCAAGAATCACAAATGTTGGATAACTGAAGTGGATTGCTCACTTTGCCTGACTGACATCTTTAAGTGGTTATACAGTCACAGAATCATACAGCTGTACAGGATGGAATCAGCCCCTTCGGTTCAACTCATCCATGCCGACCAGATATCCTAAATTAATCTGGACCCACTTGCCAGCATTTGGCCCATATCCCTCTAAACCCCTCCTGTTCATATACCCCTCTAGATGCCTTTTAAATTTTCTAATTGTACCAGCCTCCAGCCACCTGCTCTGGTAGCTCATTCCATACACGCACCAGTCTCTGCGTGAGAAAGTTGCCCCTTAGGTCCCTTTTAAATCTTTCCCCTCTCACCATAAACCTATGCCCTCGAGTTTTGGACTCTTCTACCCTGGGGAAGAGGAATCGGTTATTCATCCTATCTACGCCTCTCATGATTTTATAAACTTCTTACATGATCACCTCTCAGCCTCCAATGCTCCAGGGAATGAGTAAGTCTTTCTGTGACAAAAACAGAGATTACTGGGAAAGCACAGCACGTCTAGCTGCATCAGTGAAGCGAAATCAGAATTAACGTTTTGGTTAACATTTCAGTTTTGAGGAAGGGTCACCTGACCCGAAACATTAACTCTGAGTTCTCTTCACAGATGCTGCCAGACCTGCTGAGCTTTTCCAGCAATCTCTATTTTTGTTTCTGATTTACAGCATCTGCAGTTCTTTCAGTTTTTATTAATTCTTTCTGTGATCTCTGTTGTCAATGTCCCAGTGCTTATTTCGATGGGACTAAGAGGTGTGAAGTGGGTAAAATTTCTCCAATTCAAAGTACAATTGTCCTGTCTGATTGACACTTTGTAGGAACGATGTATCTTTTCAAAGAAGAATTGGGAATTGATATTTTTCTCAGCATTTCCATATTTATCATATGGCTTATTATTCCAAAGATGTGCGGGTTAGGTAGATTGGCCATGCTAAATTGCCCATAGTGTCCAGGGATGTGCAGGTTGGATGGATTAACCATGGGAAATTGACGGTTACAGGGATAGGGTAGGGGTTGGTCTGGGTGGGATGCTCTTCGGAGGGTCGGTGTGGAATCGATGGCCTAACTGGCTGTTCCCACACTGTAGGGATTCTATGATTCTAGTTCTGTAAAGAATGGATAGGGGAATAAACTGGAGGCCATGATGGGAGAATGGAGTTCAGAGATGGACTACGTGACCATGAAGAAACATGGAGAGTGAGTGCAGGGAGAATGTATGAAGGATGATGGCTAGATGGCCCAACAGTTTATAAACATCTGTGACAGATTTCCAGGGAATCACGCAGTGCCAACCACTCTATCACCCCACCTCTCTGGAACAGAAATGCAGGTAACAGAGTCGTTTAAACCAAAGCAGGTCGGCAAGCAGGGAAATTTCTTGACCTGAGCTACCTGCTTTCGAAACAAAAACTCAGCACAGAATTTCTGAAACTGTTATTTGCTTTTAATTGTCAGATTCATTTTTCTAACTTATGGTTGGAGGATATAACAGCAACAATGGAAAGGTAATTTCCATTTCTCTCATATTATTTCAGGTCAAACTGTTGAATCTGATATAGCATTAGATATCTATTTAACAACCTTTTCCTGGGCATACATTGAAAGCTATGTGCAATAATTATCCCCATACTTCAATTACTGTAATTATTTCATGTTATGTGCTTTAATACTAGTACAGGGTTGCTAATTGGGTCATTTCTTTGAAATTGTAGTATTTCATAGCAAATTTATAAATTGCAAAGGAAACACTGCAGCTTTAAGCACTATTCTATGTAGTGAAAGGTGAACATTTATTCAGCTTAGCTATTTTGCGGCAGAACACATTATGCACCAAAACTGAGAAATATTTGTGGAAACACAAGCAAACACAATTGACCTTAAAAACAACCAGCAAGCAGATTTTCATCCCCATTTTGCTTCATACTCCTCAATAGGGCATAAACATCTACACAAATGTTATATTACACTGACAAAGCGTAATTATAAAAATCATTTCCAGCTACAAAGCACTCAAAGGCACCGTTGGAAACTGTACTGCATTCTAAAACACAAATAATTCTAGATGGTGAACATGAATGCGTGAGACTGTCAAGACTCTCAAAATAAAAAGCTCAAAGACGTGTATGAGGTAGATAGTGTTACTGGAATGAAATGAAGCTTTCTCAGACTTTAACAAGAAGTAGCAAGGCCCAGGTAGACAAGGTGTAGGGAAGATGTGAATCTGAATGGTCAGTCTTACCTCTTATGCACGAGATGGAATATGTATTATCTCCTGAACTAACTATGAAAACTCTGCACAAGGAACTGTTTTGACCTTGACAAGCGGAAGTTAGAGAACTTGGAATATAATCAAATCTGTAAAACCAAGGGCAGGAAGAAATGCAGCACAAGCCTTTATTTGTTTTAGTCAGAATAGAACCATTATCCAGTTTTATGTAAAGTCAAATGTACATTTTAATATGGAGTTAATTTAATCCATTCATTCTAAGCTTGACTCATAAAAATTATACAGTGGAGAAGGTCGGCATTCAGTCAATTGTGTGCACTATTGTTAACTCTTTAATTGAAGCTATCTACTCTAATCCCATTTTCCTGTCCAAGCCACATCCTTTTTTAATGTTCTTCTTGGCAAGTACATATCAAATTTACTTTTACAGCCCCTGTCTCAAAGGCCAGGAGCGCTAAAGAATTCCATAATCTAGTAAATCCACCATGTGAAAAAAATATCCTTCAAACTTTTGCTTTGTTCTTCTTGTAATGGCAATCTTGAGTCACTGCTCCCTCAATGCAGTTCCAGAGAAAGCAATATTTTTTCTGCTTGAGCACATCAAAACCTGTCATAATTCTGAAAAAACCTAGTTAAATCCCTCATTAACCTTCTCTGCTTTAGTAACAAAATACTAATTTCTTCATAACCTTGGTACACGCATTACTAGCGTCATTCAGTTGAATCTTTGCTGAACTATTTCCAATGCCCTAATACCCTGAAGGTCATAACAGGATGACGAGAATATGCCACATAAAGACTAAAAATCGCCGTTGTCACATACATTGAAAATCTATCATATATTCAATCGTACTTGAGATAATCTTGAAGATTTTACTGTCCTCATAAAAACAAGTTGCCATTTGTACGATTCCATAGTATGTATATTCAAGCAGAAAATTGCATATTGACAAGTTTTAAGCATCTGTAGTGAATTGCATCATCCATGTAATTTTTCAATGAAATTTCATGGTTGCCTTGTTCTGATGATCGAACACGCATTCTGAATGGATACTCTCCTTAAATAGTAATTAGTTATCATAAGATGTACGAATATCTTTCGCATGTGTTTATTCTGCAGTATGCGCTGCACTCTTCAAGCATTTACATTGATAAATTCTGCACTGATCAACCATATTGGAATTTTTATAGATGCAAATATCATTTTAAAGTGGAACATCTGAAACTTTGGAGTTGGCTCTCACATCAAACATCAGATACTCATCACACTGAATGAAGTTCCTCCAAGTCTGTTTCAAGATTATGTCCTACCTTTCAGCTTCAGAATAGTTTTAATTAATACATCAATATAAATATTTCCATGTGCTGCAACAATTTTCTTTTTGGCCTTGTCTGCAAATTTTGTTTAGTTAGTCCATTTGTGATGAATTATGTAAACTATCGTGTTATGCTACTCGCCAAGAGCTGAGCAGAGAACCTGCCAAACCAATAAAGTGTTTTCAACGTGGAAGAAAAAAAGCAGACTTTCTTGCTTTCTGCATTCGAAATGCCGATCCAAAGATAAAAAAATGTATCAACTTATTGTGATTTATGTTTAACTTAATGTCATACTTCGGTTAAAAAAATTAAACACCAGGGTGAGAAGAATGACCAAAACAATAGGAAAATGTCAACAGTGAGGATGATGAATGAAACAGCCATGTAGCTTGGCTAATAAAAAAAACAAAAAAAAACTTTCTATACAACAATTAAGCAAAGGAAATACCTGGTTTTTGATGAAACATGCAGTAACACTTGGCCATAGGTTGTTCAAGCTCTGACTCATGACTCAGCTCAGAACCATTGTTTTTAATTAGAAACAAACAATTCTATTTAAATATTAAAAAAATGTGTTCCCATTATATTCAAGTTTGATCATAATAAGCTTAATTCCACAACTGATTTAAACTCTCAAACTGAACCCTGCAATTTAGGAAATCATTCTATTCCCTAAACTAATTGCGCCCCTTAGGAATCCACTCTGTTCATTACAGGAAACTATAAACTAAGGTTAAAATAGTCTGTTTAAAACTGTTATGAAATTTAAATACACAACAGTTTGCTCTTTGACCTACAGTAGTTAAGTTTCAAGTCTTTCAGAGTCCAAGCTTTTCTCACAGTCCTAGCTCCCAAACCATATGTTGCCCCTCCTCTCTGTTCACCCCAGAAGATAAGGGACATTCTACAAAACGGAAGCTTGCTAACAAAATAATGCTGCACAATGGAAAGTGGCACGCATTTCCACAGAGAGAAACAACTTTGTTTTGCAATGGAAACAAAAATCCAGACTATAAAGTAAAACACAGATTTTATCTTTAATGCAATTTAAATAAAAGTGGAATATTGGCACATACATTATCAACATTTTTTTAAAAATCTGGTTCTGATAATGTGGCTTGTTGCAAAAATTGATTTATCAGTTGATCTAGTATTAGAACAAAATGAATTTTACACAACATCACATGACAGTGAAGGTTTTGAATGCCAAGTTAACTACTACTACACAGTTTCTAATAACATTTCCAAAAATAATGTCAGGGCTCCCACTGATCCTAACTTAGAAAATATGTAAAAATGTACAATTTTGCATATTGCCCCAGCACCATGTTTATTGGGATTTCGCTTTGAACATAGCTTGCCATGAATGTAATGCATGTTCTACATAACATTGTCTGTTCATTATCTCTTAACAAAATGAATGAGCACATTTAACACTTTGGAGTGGATCTCATTGTTTTTCTAAGAGCAAAGGTTGTCCCTGAAGAAGAATGGGATAGTCCAGTTAGTCAGGACAGCATCAGGTTCTCCAAGCAGACTGAGTCCACTCAAGTAATGACGGGTTGATATTGCATGCGATGAAATTATCAACGATGCACCACAGATGTAGATAAAGGTTTAGTAGTGAACAGGTCAAAAGGCATGTGACTCTTCACTGCCTTTGCTGCATACGAGCCCATTAGGATCAGAGTTCGCAGATTCTGCAGTTTAGTTAAAGTTCATTGCCCTCCACACCCATCTGGACAGTCTAAACACTCACCCAAGGCTGTTCAAAACTGTATGTACGCCTCCGGTCCTCGAGCTCCTCTTGCTTTGCTTGCTGGAACTCATTTCTTAGCTTTTGTATCCGATCGTGGTTACTTGGAGCGAGTCTATTACTAGGACAGTAAAGGAAGGGAAAAGAAACTGAAATACATGAAGCAACACACTGCATTAAGCAGAGCTAATACAATTTACCTCAAGGTTGACAAAACTGGTAGCACAGGCTTCACTTTTAATTTACTGGTGTGTAAATCAAGCAAAGTGATGAGAGAACCAGCTGGCAACAGGCTGCTGCTAACATTTGCTTCTTCCCAGCAATCAAATTCACACATTCGTGCTGGGGAAATCACCAACACTGGAAGGCAAATCAGCCACTCAGACATATTTGCATATGCACAATCCAATATCTTTTTATTGCAAAGTGAAGTAACCTTATCACCACTGGATTCCAACCGGAAAGGATAATTCTCTACAGGAATGTGTCCAATTTTAACGTGCATTGGGAAACAAAGTTGTCCTCTGCTTCACCTGTTTCTCAGTTCTGTGTTAAAAGGGCCTTTGTATACAGCGTCCCATGAAAATCAATACTGCAGATTAGTTCATCAATTTCAACAGAGGCATCAATCACTTTGTGTTTTAAAGCTAATTACCTAATCAATGAAACAAAATCCACAAGTGAAGTGAGACTAATCAAAATATCCAAAGTCTAAGTGAATATAATGTTCATAAGTCCTAAAGATCATGAACTGTTTCTCTAATAATTACAACCCTACATACAGCATAAAATAGTCAAAGTTTTTGAATAATTAACATTGTGACAGCATTCATTTTAATTATATTAATGCTTTTGTAATGATTCATAATATGCGGATCAGCCATAATCTAACTGAAAAGGGGCAGAAGTTTGAGGCCCTGAATGGCTACTCCTCATTGAATAGTCTCCATAAACTGGTTAAAACAAGATTGGATCAATGGCTCTGTTCGTACATTTCCCATAGACCCTTTCTTCAGGGGTTGCATGTTCCTGTTTGCACTAATATCATGTAAAAGTCTTCAATATAAAGATAGAGTTGGACAGTCAGACTGCATTGGGATGACCTTGACAGACGTGTACCTTCTGTGAACTATTTCAGAATCAGAGAATTGTTCCAGTGCAGAGACACACCGTGTCCTCACTTGTTCTCTGCTTAGTGCCAATCTCCTGCCTTTCCTCCATTATTTTGGTTCTACCTAACTAATGATCTAATGCCCTCTTAACAGCCTCAACTGAACCTCCATCCTCCACATTTCCGGTCAGCATTCTCCCAGACCCTCACTACTCAATGTGTGCAGAAGTTCTTTTTTATTCTCACTTCACATTTGCTTCTTTTATAAAATATTTTAAATCTGTGCTTTCTGGTTCTCAATTATTTTCATGACCAGGAAATTTGTTCCATATCCACTGTGCAGACCCCTTATAATTTTGAAAAATTCTATCAAATCTCCCCTCAGCCTTTTTCTCTCCAAGTAAAACAGTTACAACTTCTCCAATCTATCTTCATAAGTGAAGTTTCTGAACCCTAAAGCTATTTTAGTAAACACCTTCTGCACTCTCTCTAACACATTCACATACATCTTGCATTGTAGCACTCAGAACTACACACACTACACTAGCAGTAACCCAACTAATGTTTTATACAGTTCCAATATAACCTCACTGTTCTTGTACTCTATGGACCTTTAATGTAACCCAGAATAGTTTATGCTTTATTAAATGCTCCACCTGTACTGGCTCTTTTCATGATTTCAATCTGAATAAGTGTGAGGTAATGTACTTGATTGGGATAAATAAGGCAAAGGAATACATGATGAGTGGTAGGACCCTGGGAAGCACAGAGGATCAGAGAGACCTTGGTGTGCAAGTGCATAGACCCCTTGAATTAGTGGTATGTAAAGTGATTAAGAAAGCATATGGGATTATTGCCCTTATCTGCTGAAGCATGGAGTTTCAAAACAGGGAGGTTATGCTGGAACTGTATAAAACATTGGTTAGGTCACAGCAAAAGTAGTGTGTGCAGTTCTAGAATCCGCATTATAGTAGGGACGTGATTGCACTGGAGAAGATGCAGAGGAGGTTTACCAGGATATTGCCTGGGCTAGAGAGTTTTAGTTATGAAGAGAGATTAGACAGACTCGGAGCAGAGGAGACTAAGGGGGGAGATGAGCAAGACGTATAAAATTACAAGGGGCACGTATGGGAAGAAACTTTTCCCCTTGGTGGAGGGATCAATGATCAGAGGGCATAGCTTTAAGCTAAGGACAGGAGGTTCAGAGGAGATGTGAGGAAAGTCTCTGCATGTACTTTGTACCAAGATGTATCACTGCACATTTCTTTGCATTGAACTACATCTGCCACCTACCCACCCAACTCCAACTTGTTAATGCCCTTCTGAGATTCCACTGTCATGATAACATAAAAAAAATAGAAGGACAATCAGCTTCTCAAGTATTCAATAGCTAATTTGCCCCTTGCCTCAACGCCTCATTGGTGCCAGCTCCTCAACGACCAGATATTTCAAAAATATATCTAACTCCTCTTTAAATACTACAGGATCTGATTGAAATATTTCAGAATATTGCCCAGTTTACTTCTGAGAAATTGTCTACATGGCTCTGAGAATGACACTAAGAGGACGGATAGACATATCAGTTCTCACTATTCAGCATTGTACAGTATTAAGACCAAACACCTTAATATGCAGGAATATTGGAAGCAATGAGTTGTTAGGCCTTCAAAAATTAACTGTAAAGTACTATGGGCACAAATAGAGCTTACTAACAAAATATTTCTAAGGGCATGCCTCTGTAGCAGTAACATTCAATATCAGTAACATTCTAAAAGATGTCCCCTCCTTCACCATTTCATTAATCTCAGAAAATTTCACGAAGTTATATCTGACCAAATCATGGAAAAACCTAAGTCTGTACTGGCTCCCAAAAGAGCTACCAGCTAGTTCCATTCTTCAGCCCTATCTCTGTGGGCCTTTAAATTCATCACTTTGAAATAGATATCCAGCTCTTCTTTTGAAACCTCCTACGAAATCCGCCTCTACCACTCTCCCGAGGCAGCATATTCCAATTCCTAACAACTCTCTATGTACAGAAGTTTCTCTTAATCTCACTCCCAGCTCTCTTGTTGACAATCTTGAAATTGTGGGCACAGAATATTCTTCTTTACCCTGTCAAAATTGTTCATAATTTTGAATATCTCACGAAGGTCAGCCCTCAATCTTCTTTGCTTCACGGAGAATAGGCCCAATCTCTCTGACCTTTCCTTGATTCTAAAATCCTTCATTCTTGGTATCATTCTTAGTACATCACTTTTGAAGGTCTCTCCAGGGCTTTAACATCTTTCCTGGCACCCAAGAGCTGAACACAATACTCCAAATATGGTCTGATCAATGATTTGGTGTAATCATTTCCTTGCTTTTAATGGACTTGGTCAGAAACCAATACAGAATTTCAGAAATTCTGATTGAAATTTTATTGGTGTAAACCATTAAAATATACAAGGACTTTGTGCTCCAGGTGAGAAAGTTGCACTCCAGGTGAGAAAGTTGCACTGAAAAAAAAATCAGTAAATTACCTGTATATTTTATATCAATAAATTAAAAGGTGTGAGAAAGCTACACATTCCAAATTTCAAAGTGCAAAGTTTCTAAAGTAATTTAAGATACATCAAGTAGCAGCTAAATATTGTAGCCACATCCTTGACCCTCTTAGAACTTGCAATCTGAGGATAATACCGCTGCAAAGTTGGGGAGAGTATTTGTGGATTGGGAGGCAGGACATTAGAATTTGGTGTTTGTAAAATGCTAGGAGGGTGGGGAAGCATTGTCTGGTCCCTTTAAAAGATTGCATTTTTTCTATGCTTGGAGACGTGTGCGATCAGTTTGAGAGCACCCAAATTGAAACATTTGTATTGAAAGGCCATACTGTTATGAGGCGAAACAGCATTTTTACCAAGACAACAGGTTTTTGAACTTGACCAATCAATTTGAACCAGGCACTCAGATACCAAAAACCTATCAAATTTGAATATGACAGTTTTAACAACCGAGGACCAATCCAATTATAAGAAACTGATAAGTCATCAGGGGTCTAAAAGAACAGGGCAGTTGGACAAAGACAGGAGAACTATCTGCCATCTGCCAGAGTTAACAGCTCTCAACTCTAAAGAGAGAATCGCTGGCTCTCACAGACTCCTATAAGTCTTAGAGAAAGCACCATCTAAATATCAAAGATACCAATGGCACAACTAATGAATATTCCTGACAGAAGAATCAATAGAAGAGGCGTTCCTTACAGAACATTTGATGGAGAAGGCACAGAGTATTCCAGAAGACACGTAATCTGGCTGTATTTTGGAGAGACTAGATTTTACTTTATTTTATATAAGTAGGCCTCATATGGAATGGCATACTATTACAATCTTGTTTTATTTAGGAATAGTTAGTAGTTAGAAGGGGTTTATTCGGTTTGTTAATAGTTTAGTTAATTTGTTCAATGTTAGAGTTAGATAAATAAACTGTTACTTGTTGATTTTTAAAGTGAGTGTCAGGGGTTTATTTTATTTAACCACTAGAAATTGCTGAAAGGCAGGTTACATCACTTTTCACACTTTTTAACAGATTATAGGGCAAGGTGCTCCTTTTAGAGTGTTTTGGTTTTGGTTCTTGGTTGGGGAGGGGGGGGGGAGCGGAGCTGAGCCTCCGCTTTATAACAATACATTCAGGGAATATTATGCATTTAAATATATCAGTTACATGTTGGAAAATTACAAATACCAGTGTAAAATATCTGTTGTTAATAGGAGACATAGCTTGGTGAAGAATTAGTTTTTGAAGTGCTACTATTGTCACCCTCTCATGCAGTATTGTAGGAAAGCGTTTCCTAGTCTTTTCATAGAACATGGAACATAGAACATAACAGCGCAGTACAGGCCCTACGGCCCTCGATGTTGCGCCGACCTGTGAAACCAATCTGAAGCCCATTCAACCTAAACTATTCCATTATCATCCATATGTTTATCCAATGACCGTTTAAATGCACTTAAAGTTGGCGAGTCTACTACTTT